AAAACAAAATGCCCTCACCATTGTCAGCCAAGATGCTTTAAACCTAGTAAAGTAGAGAAGGTAACATGTATGTACTGAGTGCAACCAAAACATGCTTCCCTGCTCCCCAAAGCTTTGGCAAAATGATTCATTGCCTCCATTTCAAACTAATCATGCTGCTGCTTCTAATTTTATTTGGATGGCACTTCCTGCATTCCATACTCATTGTAATGCTACTTTTGTCTGAAAGGAATTTTGCAAGATAGCTGGACATTTCCTACCTTGAGACCCTCGCATTCTTTCATCAGCACTCATTTGCGTTCTCATTAGTATGCATGAGATTTTCATTGAACTTCAAGACTCCTACTGGAACATAACGCACTGTAATGAGCGTAAAAGTGAGCATGCAAATTAAGACTCCCATTAATCACTAAATGTTACCAGGAAAGGAAAAAAAAAAAAGGACTAGGACTAGATGGGCAATAAAATGCTGCATGAAGCATGCAATCTCACGAATCTCTATAGGTATGTAAAATTACTGATCTCCTCTCAGGAGCACTATTGACATGTCCCGAGGAGGTAAATTACACAATTCTACCGTAGGTGAACATTCAGAAATAACATTACAGAAAAGTTATCTGTTGTGTGCATCCATATTGCCTAGGGAAAAGAAAAGTATGCACTCCCACTTTGTAGTAAAATAGAAAAGGCTTCACCTAAAAAAAACAGGTAATATTTGTATTGTGTATATGGATTACATTTAAATTCAAAACTACAGTAAAAAAGGAAACACTTTTGGATTTTTAAAACTAAAATCAACTTAATTTTCTGTGTACGAATAGCTATCACTAAGACTAAGGAGAACGCAAGGGATTATGATTCTATTCTTTTAATATTGAGCATATTTCAGTTTTACAAAAGCTTTAATGGACATTCAGAACTTTTGTAAAATTCCCAGGTCTGAGAATTTAGGAAATTTAATCCTGTGGAGCACTTAAAACTAACATCTTCAGGAGAAAAATTCCAGGCAAACCCTTCAGGAGTAAGCCCTTGGCCCTGTATTCAGTAAACTCTCAGGACTAATACACAAACATCCTCTCCGGACTGTGAGAAACAGCTTCCACAGATTGAGTCTCTGGTCTGGAGGATGGGTTTATCTACTTGCTTTAAGCTTTCTACTTGGTCTTGGTTACCTTATTACATGTTTGTAACTTGATAACCACGACACCAAAATAAGCCCCTTAGTTTACCAGCTGTCTAGGCTGAGTATCTTAGATACACAATGAGATTTAACTCAGACCCTCTTCAAATTTCACTACAGTCTGCTCCCACCCCTTAAACAATCCCTTGTCCCTGATTTTGTGCAAGTTGCCTCAGACAACTCATGCCCTTAAGTATTTCCAGGGACAGTGCTTTTATTCATTTTGGTCACAAGAGGTTTCTTTTCTAGTCACACAACGTGATATAGGGAAACAAGGATAGGGAAAGGGTGCTGGGATGACTGCTTTTAGATCAGGTGGCCATTAAGGATTATCCACAAGCGAAAAAACAGAGTCCTGGCAGAACAAAGACAGCACAGGTGAAGGCAGTTCTCTGCGGATCCCAAGAAAAAGGAGAGGAAATAAGGCAACAGAAACTTTAGCACAGTCCTTAAAGCAAAAAGCCTGAGAAGGCTAGGCAAGGAGACTGCTATTGCTGAACCAGCCAAAACTGAAGCAGAGAGGCCGCAGATGTCAAAGTGCATACACAGGATTTGGAGGGAAGGCCCCTGGAGATGTAAGCATGTGCCCAGCAGACAGGATTTAGAACACTAAAAAAAAAATTTCCAAGACTAAAGAGAAAACAGAAGTGAGAAATATTGTATAGCCTTCTAAACTTATATTCATCTTTTACTGTTCAGACAAAACAGGAAGTATCTTAGAAACCCTTCTGCAAAGTCTCAGGCTATTTGCTGGAATGATCAGCATCCACAACAGCATGAATTATAAAGTGAACACCCACAGAAAGAATGCACTGGGAAATTTTCAAGAGTCTGGACAGAAGATACACAGTGAAAGTTCAGCACAGGTCTTGTGGGCCTGGTAAACTTCTAGACCAATCTTAAAAGAGGAAAAAACATGGACAGAATTGTAACGAGCCTTCCAGTAAAGTGTGTCTTAAAACCTTGATTAAACTGTTCCCACTCAGATTACTGGCTTCTATAGTATTATCTGAACTCTCTACTCTTTCCATTCTTTCCCATATCTTACTGAGAATTTTTCATTTTACAGGAGGCAGCAAAGAAGTAGTAATGAACTGAACTTCAGAGCATCCCACATCCCCAGTTCACACCCCAATATAGCAAAGGCACAATAGTTCTCTGAACAGCCTCTATACCCACAGCAGAAGTACCAGTTTTGGCTTTTCAAAATTATACTTCTACAAAACTGTTTGTAATGCTTAAATTGGCATTGGACAAAAAAATACAGGTTAGCCTTTTTTGTGGAATTCCCATACTTTGTCAGAAACATGCACTACACACCTATTCTGCTTAAGGAATGCACAAGGGAAAAAAAGATGCATGTGTCTTGTCTTTCTGTTTCTAGAGAAATTCAGTACTTGAGAGGAAAAGGCTGTTACCTATCTGCATACTGTAAATTTTCCTTTTCTCTGTGAATTCTTCCTATTTGCTACTGACAAAATCACAAAGAAAAAAAAATGCAGTTACAAAGACGAGGAAGTTAAGCATTAAAGTGCAGCTCATAAAAATGGGACTGGCCAATTGTCTTTTCTTCTTTAAAACAAACCTGAATAAGATGCCTTGACTTGCAAAAGTGCAGGTCTGGCAGCTGCATCTTTTTAAGCAAGCCATACTGCAGGGTACCTGACCCTTGACTCCAAGGTCCCAATAGTGGTGCTTGCCAAAAGCATCCTTCCAAACAGCTGTACCCTCCCATGAACCACACTGTCAAGTCACATGGATTTGTGCTAAGGTTTGTGAAGAAAGTTAATAGCGCAGGCTTATTAAGTGCTACACCAATTCCAGCAGTCCTAAGGAACAGGTTCATATAGGAAGTTGGTTGAACCAGTCCAAGACCCTTTGTGAAAGGGTGATTAGCCCACACCCATCTGAGGCAGTCTGACTGTCAATTCCAGCCAAGTGCACGCAGAGATGATTGGATTGCATTTTGACTCTTAAAAGGCAGCAGCAGGTCTTAGATGAGAATTCATTCACAGCAGAGCAGAGTTACCTGAGGCTTTATATATGCTCCTCAGTGTTTCTGGTGCAGAGTGATTGCATGACAGTGACACAGACCTAAGACGACCAGCAGTGGCTGGAGAACATTTGGATGAGGATGTAGACCTTCAGAAAGTTGGATTAGGTAGATACCCATTCAAGCCAGATGATTTAGTAAGGACAAGCCTACCAGGCTGCTGCTGTCCTTCAGAAGATCGCTATCTCAGACTCATAAAGAACCAGGAGCAACTAGATTAAGACTTGCCAGCCAACTGTGGGTACTGCGGCAGTAGAAGACAGAAGCTGTTGATGCATTGGTTTTGCCACACTTGGCAAATGCTGCTAATAGGGTTGAAACACCTTTGAGAAGCTTTTAGCTGTTAATACGAGCCTTAGTTGACCACAAAAAAAAAATCCTAGGAATCATGTAATGACAGTGATAAAATGCAAGATGGGAACATTTGTATTTCTCTACTGACTCCATGAAGGGATATAATGGGACCAAAGTTTTCGCTTCGCTCAGTATCATCACCCTCAGGGGCCAACAGTGAGCGCAAAGGGAGGAGAATGAGATAAAGTAAGTATATTGCAGTATTTGCTCAAAACAGACTGCAGCCTCCATTAATTTGCAGGTCACCGACAAATTAAAACACGGTAATGTCTGTATACATTCTATGTAAAGAATTCTTCCACAAATTTTTTTAATTACTTTTTGAACTCATGCAAACTCCCAGCAAGGAGAATATTCAATGACAACGAATTCCACAGTTTACCTACATACTGCTTAAAATTTAAGTTTGTTTGCTTTAAACCTACCCACTTCTGGGAGATGCCTAGATATTATTCTCCCCAAAAAGCATGCTGAATGATGGGTAGACTCTACCTACTATTTCAGTAGTTCCTTGCTTACGCTATAGAGTCCTGGATTTTAAGCCACATTTAACCCCACACTTGGCTCGAGCTCCTACAGCCTCAAGGACTAACATACACTCCCTCTCTGCTTTCTCTCTTTCTCCAAGGGCTGCTCAGCTAATCCTAAGAATTTCTCTAACCTCCCTGAATTTCTTTCTATGTCCCAAATTTTCAGACAAAATATTCACCAGTAGCAGTGGGAAGAAATGGTTAATTATTAACAGGTTCTCCAACTCCCTACAAGACTGTGCAAGGATGAGTGCAGGAAACCAAATACCACCATAACAAAAAAAAAGCCCTGTCACTGTGCCACCAACAATTGAACTGACCTACAAATTAACACTGCAGTGAAGGCATAATTAGGAATTTTAACACATTTAGTTTTCGTTATTCTACCAGATCCCCCTCAGGCACAAATATTTTCACATTTAATAGGAGAAAGTAATGATCATACAGGCTTTATTTACATTTTTATTAAGTACTGATTTCCTAAATATAATTTATCCTATTTGTAAAGGGGTTACTTCAAGAATTCATAATAACTATGCAGTTAAACAAAAGCCTGCATTACTCAACATGAAAGATAACAGACAACCTATTCACATAGTCAGGCTTTCCATTAAAAATACTGAATCTACATTCAATGGCAAAATTATCTTGAAATAAACCCAAAATATTCAGGATTTACCTTCCCATTCTGTTGGAAAGTCACCCATTTCATACTGATATGCTTGACGATTTATTGCTTCTACAAATCTTCTTTCTGGTATAATCTGCCCTACAGCAAAAAAAAAAAAAAAAGAAAAAAGAAAAAAGGCATATAAATATATTTCTATGTAATATTTAAATTGCTGATTATGTCACTGTTTTGAAAGAACTGTACTTATTCACACAAGTGCAATGATGTCTACAGGATAAAAATGAAGGATTAAAATACTGAGAAAATGATTACCATCTAGATGTCAATTTGAAATGCTATGTTTCAGTAACTTTAACAAAAGCTTGCATGTTCTAAAGTTGACTTGGATTATTAATGATAAATATATTTCAACCCAAGTTATCCACCTTAGTGTATCCCTCCCTTTGAGAATGCTTCTCTGAAGAACTGCCATTAAGTTTTCTATCAACTGTTTTTTCCTTCACTTGGATATCTTCCACACCATTGCTGGTGAGGGATCAGAAACTTGATGCTGTTCTCGAGTCAAAAACCAGCACTGAAAGTTCACTGGTTAGCTTTGCGAAGTGGTCAGGCTACATCATCTCCAATCACTGGCAACTGCTCTGTGCATGTGAGCCTTTTCACATATGCTTGCAAACTAAGTATTTTCTATGTTAAAAAACAAAAACCAGTAGGCAGCTCCCTGATAGGGAACATTCAGTATATTGAAAGCGGAGCCAGTGTGGAGAATCTGGATCTACATCCCACCCACAGATTCTATTGCTGCCAAAGAGAAAGAATTAAGGTTGAACCGGTGATGTAGCACACAGCAGACTGTCTAATATCATGCTACCATACAGAGAAAAAGTATTTTAATTTGCTTTTTAAATTAGCAGGTACTGGAAAAATGTGCAAGTTGCCCATCCCTCACAGGGAAAAAAAAACCTAACAACATTCCTCAGGCTTTTTCTCCCAGCTTTTTCCCTTCCTGGGAGGCTGATATTGAGAAATTTGACATTTTGAGGAAACACAAAGAAATATCTGCATAAAATATTTTCTTTCATAATGATGTGATTAATGCAGTTTATTCCTTCAGTGTGCTTTCAACAAGTATTTCAAATGAAGTTATTTAAAAACTGATAGCAGTCAGGAGTTACAATTCACCCATCTCTGGTTAATAGCTAAACTGCATACTATTGTTCATTATTAAGTACTGAATACAGTAAAATAAGAACTTGTATAGAAACTGCAATTCCTTTTCTAAGTACCTTCTTTAGCTTTATAATATTTCTTTTTAAGCAATGCAACATTTTTACTGTTTCAGATATGCCATCAGGCAAAGAAAATAGTGGAACATACTTTCATCTCCAAAATCAGATATTTTTAATCAGTGTTGAAAGATACATGATTTATACTTATTTGTTTTATAAGTACACAGTTCCTATATGCTGAAGATATTATACTTCATACACTTGCTTTAAAATAATTTCCTTTCAACAATAGTGTGGATAATTCAATTTCTCAATCTCTTAATCTACAAAGCAAAACAAAAATACAGAATTAATTTCTTCCCATACAGCAGATCTCCAGAAAAGCTGAAGACCTACCTAATTAGGTCTGATCCTATGTAAGTCTCAGAATTAACACTCTTCTCCATTGTTGGAGAGTCACTAGATTTTACCGTTAGCACAGCATCTTTTAAAAAACTGTCCATAACGTGAGTCCTACACAGGTAGAACAGTCTGAGTAAACTGACATAAGCAAAAGTAACAAAGAAGTGTATTTTTCTACCTGCTACCATAACTTGTGATTGATGTTATAGCTTTATGCAGTCCTGTCGTGGTTTAACCTCAGTCGGCAGCTAAGCACCACGCAGCCGCTGCTCACTCCCCCCTGCCCCCCCGGTGGGATGGGGGAGAGAATTGGAAAAGCACAAGTGAGAAAAACTTGTGGGTCGAGATAAAAACAGTTTAATAATTGAAATAAAATGATAATGATAATAATATGATAATAATAATAATAATAATAATACACAAAGCAAGTGATGCACAGTACAATTG